TTGGTTCTGATTGTCCAGCCCTTAGGAGCATTTCAGGCAAAACCCTCAACATATTGGGCAAGAGAGTTGTTGAACTCGATTGCAATGGTCATTCATTGTGTATCCAGTTTTATGTGTGTGAAAACATCCCGTTTCCATTGGTCAGTGTTTCTCGTTTTCTATTGCAAGATTTCTGGACAGTCGTGTCTCGCGACTTCATGGCATTGATCACTCCCACGGGACTTCCGGTACCCATTGTTCGTCAAGGCACATTGGTGTATCTTACTCCTACAGTGATTCCTTTCTCATCGTCCGATGCACCCAAAAGCGAATTGGAGATTAACTCTCTCATGGCAGAGATTGATCTCACAGCATTGGATGTGGAACTTCGCGGTGTAACTGACATTGCTGATCTTGCATACGATCATGTGTCTAAGATCTCCTCGCTCATTGCTGCTGCACAGAAAGGTAGGCAGAAGCAAAACTTCAAGCGCATGGACTATTGGGAAGTAGATGACAAGGCACATCAATTGATTCGTCATCACGTGAAACCCAGAAGTGCCATGTTTGACCTTGGAAGATTGAGCAAGGAGATGCCCGTAGATGAAGAGAGATTGACAGGTAGGAGAGAAACCCGTAAGTCCTACAAGGATGGCAGTCGTAAGACGGTGATTGACGCGGATTTTCGTTCATTGGAGGACTCTAAGGCTAAGGATGATCGAGAGTGGACTGGGAGCACTCGCTTTGCATTGAAGCAAAGGCTGCGGAAGCGTTCGGAGACTTCGCAGCCCCCGACAGCATTGAAGCCTCAGCCCAAAACATCACCTAAGCCTGAGCCCTCGCAGGCATTGAAGCCCAGTTCTGAAGCGCTACAGCCCAGTAGTTTTCCCATTGAGCGTCGTGTGTTGAGCCGAGGGACCGAGGTATTGGAGACCTTGGACTCTGAAAACACGATTTTGAGCAGATTGCGCTCTGTTCAAGTGTTTGACAACAAGATGAAAGAAGATCTATTGCGGCTCTTCCACACTCCTGATCCATTGACTGGAATGGAACGAACTACTGACTATTGGGTTCAATTGCCTACGTTTTGGGTTCGCATGATTCACCAGAAACGAATTGATTTGGTTCATCCTGATGATGAGCCTTCCCCGATTGACGCCAAGCGAGACAACGAATTTGGCGACTCACTGATGGCAGATCGCTACACATACATTGTGGAATCTCAGTTCCCTGAATCGAATGGCACTGAAATTGAGGACTATTGGTGTTCTGTTCGTGATGATGATGGTACTGTGAAAGAACCTGAACAAGATCCTCGTAGGGATTTGTTTCAAGCATGGAGAGGATTCTCCGTCTTTGTTCCCATTCCGATTGAGTATGAGAGAACTGAACAGGAAACCTCAGATAGACATGCGAGAGTCCCGAAAGGATTGAAGGTTCCTGGTGAACCCTCTTCGTCCGAAAGAAAACAACACGAATTGACTCATTTGCCGTTTAGAGATTGGTGTCCACATTGTGTCAAGGCGAAAGGCAGACACGGCCCAGCCAAGAAGCAGATTGACCGTCAGCCTGTTATCCAAGTGGACTATTGCTTTAGTGCCACGAACAAGGATTTGCCCTTGCAGAAGATTCTCTCTGCAGTTGACGTGATATCAGGATTGGGCATGGCTGTTGTTGTCCCATCAAAAGGTGAGATTGACTACAGTGTAGCTGAACTGAAGAAGTTCATCTTCGAATGTGTTAGGACATTTGGAGTATTGCAGTATGACCAAGAAAGTCCCCTCAAAGCATTGTGTCAACGTGTTTGCTCTGAGTTAGGTGGATTGAGCTTGCGCGCAGCCCCGAAGGAACATTCCCAGTCTAGTGGATCTGTAGGACAGATGCAACGCACATTGTACGGACAATTGCGTACGCTACTGTATCAGGTCGAGCACAACACTGGTTTCGCAATTGACTCCAACAGTGCATTGTATCCTTGGGCAGTCAAACACGCGCAGTGGTTGATTAACCGATACCTCGTGCATTCTGACGGATTCACATCGTATTTTCGTAGGTGGAACCGAAACTATGAAGGTGGATTGTGCGCATTTGCAGAGTGCGTACAAGCTAAGGTCATTACCCCTTCAAAAGCACGAAAAGCAGACACGCCCTGGAAGATTGCTTTGTGGCTAGGTAGAGACACCGAGGCGAATGAACTGTGGCAACAGAAGACGGTGTAGTGAAAGTTCGCACTGTTAGAAGATTGCCACCCTCGCAGCATTGGCAGGTAGGACCTTTGAAGGAATTGCAAGCTCTCCCCTGGAAGCCCAAAGCCAGAGAAGAGCCCACTACTGACTTTGTATTGCCGAAGTCATTGACGGTTACAGGCAAAATCAGAGACCCTCCAGGATTGGAGAAAAGTAGTGTCGCTACTCCTGAGGTTCCCCAAGAACCCCCTGGTGAAGCCATTGCTGAGGAGCTTCCTGCGTTAGAGGATCTTCCGACTCGAGTCGCAGAAACCTCGATTGGAGAGACTGAGAGATCCCCGACAGTACGCAGGTCTGCTGAAGAGGAGATTGGACGCCCAGCGAAGTCTCTTAGGATTGACCCCGATGCACCTTCCGTTCCTCCGCTGAGCAAGTCGCAGAGGATTGCTTGCGTGGTAGCTTCTGTCACGAATTGGATCTGCGGACAGGTTGGTGTAGCTAAGGTCACGACCAAAGATGGCATTGACATTCCTGTAGAAGTCAACTACGACAGTGAAGAATACAAAGAAGAATTGAAACTCTCGGAACCGATCATTTGGGACATCACCCGTGAATTCCCTGAAGAAGCCCAAAAGATTGGTATGAACAAAGAGATGAAGTCCATGAAAGACTTCACGGTTTACACCGAGAAACCAATTGAAGAGTGCACTGAAGAGCAAGTTAGGAATGCCATTGGTGTCAAATGGGTCAAGAGATGGAAAACAGACACGGATTTGCGGATGAGATTGGTAGTCCAGGGATGCTATCAGGACGCACAGGCATTGGACTCTGACACGCTGTTTGCGAGCACGCCGTCATTGGTCACGCTACGCATCATGCTGATCATGGCGTTGGCGCGCAATTGGTGCATTAACCTTGCAGATGTGTCCACAGCATTCCTTCATGCGCCGATGACTGAAGACATTTTCATTTGGCCACCGGCTGAGTACTACCCCGATTTCAAGTGCCTGTGGAAATTGAACAAAGCTATGTATGGCCTGAAACAAAGCCCTCGATTGTGGCAAGAGCATGGCTAAGCTAGGATTCAGACGATGCAAGTCTGACGGGAACTTGTATTGTCATTCGTCCAAGCAGCTGTATGTTTTGGCCTATGTACTGTAGACGATTTGCTGATTGTTGGAGATTCCGAGCAGTCGAAGTTGTTCATTGAAGCCTTAGGCAAAGAACTGTTGGTGAAGATCACTGGCTCATTGGAGCCTGGAACAGAACATTCGTTTCTCGGACGTCGCCTCAAGCACAACGGCGATTCGATTGACATGTTCATGTCGCAGGGTTACATTGAGGAACTGCTTAAAATCTACCAGATGGAATCGGCAAACAATGTCAACACCACTGGCACGACCGCATTGAAACGCATGCAAGACGCAGACACGCCATTGGAGCCTGCTGAGCACGCTAAGTACCGAACTGCAGTAGGGAAATTGCTCTGGCTAGCTTTCGTTCGGCCGGATTGCTCTTACGCTGTCAAGGAACTGTCGCGTGACGTGAAGTCACCTACATTGGAAAGCCTAGCTAAGCTGAAGCATTTGCTAAGGTACATTGTAGGAACGAAGCAGTCTGTTCTACGACTACGCCCGAGCCAGATGCTGGCCGATTGGCGTTGTACTCTTGACATTGCTTGCTACGTAGATAGCGATTGGGCAGGCTGTTCTCGCACGCGGAAGAGCACCAGCGGAAGCACGGTGCAGGTTCTTGATTGTGATGTCATTCACTCCTCGAGGACGCAGGCCACTGTGGCATTGTCTTCTGGAGAGGCTGAACTGTACGCTATTGGCCAAGGAGTGAACGAGGCATTGTTCGTAAAGAATCTTGTCTTGGAAGCGGAGTTTGCGCGACGTGTGCAAATTGTTGCGTACACCGATTCTACTGCAGGTAAGAGCATGGCTACCAGATTTGGCGCTGGAAAGCGTACAAAGCACGTAGAATTGCGCTACTTGTACATGCAAAATCTTGTACAGAGCGGATTGCTGCAAGTCCGCAAGATAGGAACCAAGTTCAACCCGGCGGATGTATTGACCAAATACGTCTCCACCGAAACATTGCGCAACCTCATTGGGAAGCTTGGATTGGTCAGGAACCAATTTCGATATGGCTGAGCACTGGAACAAAAAAAAATTGTTTCACTTTCCCTTTTGTTTCCCCGCCCACCCGACCCTTCGCCCCGCACGCGGCTTGGGGCATTGCATTGCTTTTCCGGTCCTGTTTGAGGGACCGAGGAATTGTGTCGTTTTCGCTTTGACCTCCGCGGTCTAAATTGGATTGCGTTGAGCATTGAGAGAAAGAGAGAGAGAAGAACATTGCTGTCTTGACAGTGCATTGCAGTCGCATTGACATTCTTGTCACATGTGCAACATGTCAGTACTGCATTGTGCGTTGTGCATTCAGTCATGTTGTTTAGTGTTTATTGTGTTTAAGATTGATTTTAAGAGCATCGCTCAACCGCCGTCAACCGCATTGCGGTTAGGTGCGCAGCTAGTCCGCTATTGAGCGGACGACAGCCATTGAAACGACATTGGCAAACAAGGGACCGTCAAGCATTGCAATTGAACAAATTGCTCCTTCTGACTGTCATTGTACATAAAGCCCGAAACCCTGAATTGATTTTCCAGTGAGCGGAGTGCATGAAGAATTGGTTTTCTGCAAATTTTGAAGCATTGATCACGCTGAACTGTGGCTCACATTGCGTCACATTGCGATCACTCATTCGGGCCTAGAGCATTTTGTGCATTGCGCCTTGTGAACACTGTCCTTTCTGCAGTCCGTAGATTGGCAACCATGGCCGTCCCCGCAGGTGTGATTGCCCCGATCGTCCCATTGGCTGGCTTAGATCAGTTGAAAGACGATTGCAAGCGCCTCCTGAACGAAAGCGCGATGCAATACAGGGGATTGCAGGAGATCCTGTCTGATGCATTGGCATTGCTCCCGACAGAGACAGCATGCCTCCCGATCGTTCGGAGGATTGGCATTGACATCGACACAGCGAAAGCTCTTTTGGTGAGGATGAGACTGATTGAGCATTGCATCGGTGGAGTGCTGCTCAACAATGCAAGCCTCAAGACATTGGAGCCGCAAGCTGGATTGAATCCATTGAGGCTTGGATCGTACGCGACATGCCTCAAAACGGAGGATTGGCCCAGTCCAGAGGGCATTGGTCCTTCCGTGGGATTGGCATGGCTCATTGTCGCTTACAGTGCGCAGGCTGGAATGCGCGTTGGTGCAGTCCAACATGGGTTGCCATTGGCATTGGTCACTGCTCAGGAAGGAATGGTCCCATTGACCATCCGCACGCTGCAAGTTCGCAATTGGGTCATTGTGTCCATCACTGGCAGATTGGAAGTGAGATGATCCTGGATGGCTCATTGATGGCGATGCCCTTCTTCCTGGCATTGCCAGAGTCATTGATGCGAAGCGTGGTGGCAGACGGCGTCATTGCATTGGATGGTTTTCCGTGTGGTCAGGCAAATGCCTTCACCACCATTGACCAGGCATTGGTGAAGCTCCATCAGTGGTGCGATCAGGTCCCCTCCATTGAGGCAGGATTGCGCGAGAATGTCTGGATCATTGGGTACCACCCATTGATGTCCCGATTCCCCACGGTCTTGAAGAACCCCCGCCACGGGAAAGGGCGGATTGTTGCATTGGCACAACCAGTCTTACTGTGGCCATTGCTTGATCGTGGAGGCCATTGAAGATGGCAACTACCGCCTGAACCCGATTGAGCTGTTGACTGCGATGGTGGTTGACACTCGATTGTCACTGAAGGCCCTTTTGGACGGATTGAATTGGGACTTGAGTGGCACAACGGAGCAGTTTTCGTTCCACCGCCACATTGCCGTCCCGACACGCCTGAGCAAGCTGATTGGTGCAGGACGCACCGCAGGCATTGGCTCGTCGGCCATTGCTGGAAGCGCAGTGGCAAGGGCCATTGGCGAAGGCCAGATTGGCAGCTCCGAGCTCACGATCGCAAGCGGAGGCAGCCGATTGAGGATTGCCCTCAACGTCCACCAGATGGACTGATGCCTCATCGGCATCCAACAAGTTTGACTGGCCTGGAAAGATGAGATTGCATTTGATTGGTTTGTGCTTCGACGATTGGCTTTACAGTTGATGCTTTTCATTGGTGATGATGTGGTTTTTCACTTGCTGCAGCTCATTGGACCCCGATTGGAAACTTTGCTGACCGTTTCTCAGGACCACTCCGTGTGGTGTATTGATTCGGATGCATTGGAGCATTCGGTATGCCAACAGAACATTGCAGGTTTCGTTGCAAGTTCTCTTTTGAAGCGATTGCGATTCGCTTGCAAAGCAAAAGGATTGAGCCGAGCCTCTGAGTGCATTGTTCACTGCTGAGCTGATTGGTAGTCGTTTGCAGTCGAGATTTTTTTCGACATACTCCGTTGATTGGTTGACTGAATCTTTGTTTTACGAAATTATTTGAATTGTGACTGGAGAACAGCACAGACAAACATTGTCTCTGCTGAGGGACCGTGTTAGAATATAAGGTCACAATTGGCATGCTTCCAGAGAAGCATTGGCACAGCAGCATGCTCAACATGAGCATTGACTCGGTGCTTTGGCTCAAGGCGGCACAAACCAAGATTGCTGAGTGAGTGATTGCATCAAGTGACTTTGCTGTGCATCTTGTGTATTCTGGATTGTGTGATCAAACCAGTCTGTGAACATTGATCTTGTAAAATTTCATTAAGGGGGGGCTTAAATTAAGGGCTTTGACCCTTTGCCCCCCCCCCCCCCGAAGGGACCCCCTTTGCAAGGACCCCTTTGAAGGGGGGCTTAAGGGGGGCTTAAAGGGGGGCTTAAAGGGGGGCTTAAAGGGGGGCTTAAGCCCCCCTTTGCCCAAAGGGGGGGGGCCCATCCTCTCTGACTCAGAAATGGTGGTTGGTGCAAGAACCAGACGAAGTGCGCAGACGGGTTTGCAGTCACTTTAGCTGGAGGCCTTCAAAACCATGTTTGGAGTTGTGCCTGGTTGTCCTCAAAGTGCAAGTAGCAAATGTGGTTTGGCCGTGGCTGTAGACTTTGGAAGCTTTTGAGGGCCCGGCTGAAGAGTTTGGAGGCCCCTGAAACCATCTGGAGGCTTCTGAGGCTCAGCGAGTTCGCCACAGCCCGCAAAAACGTTGTTTTGCAGTGGCTGCTCTGGAAGGCCCTGGAAGGATCTGGAGGCTTCTGGAGGCTTCTGGAAGCTTCTGGAGACTTCCGGCGCCCCAGAAACCATAAAGTCACGACCGGCCCTTGAATTGCGAGCGTCGAACTGGAAACCTTTTTCTGTTTGCCTTTGCTTTTGATGCTGCGCTCCATTGAAGGGCGTGTTGCAACTTTATGTTTTGCCTGGAGGTGCCGGTGCAGCGTTCCATTGATGGGCAAAGCGCAAATCTAGCTCACTTGTCAAGCTGCTCTTCCCGCCCTGTAGCTTTCGTCTGCCATGCTCTCAACTGATGTAGGAACATGTTGTGTCCGCAAATCTTACTTTTGCACGCTGGGACCACGTGCAAGAAGCGCTGCGAGCCCACCTCAGGTACGAAGATGCTTGTCAGCAGAGCGACCAAGAAGCCAAGCATCTTGTGTATCTCGAGTTCCAACCATTGTAAACAGCCCTCCTTCTTCACATTGCTCGATAGCTTTTGCATTTGAGGTCGAAATTGGTGCATGGCGCTTGCCAACGCCACAAAAACCATTTGGCTGAACATGCCGTGAACAGCATCCTCTCCAAGAACATTGGGTATTTGTTGGAGGGCGCCCGTGCTGTTGACGAAACCATGCGGTTGGCCTCCCATCACATACTTGCCAACCACTGTCCATGTGACCTGCCGGTGGTGCACCACCGGATCACTGAAAGCATGCTAGATCTTTTGGTGGAGCTTCTCAAAGACCTGCCGTCCGAAGCAACAAAACTTGAGGACGTTTGGCGCAAGATACATTGTTGCAGAACATCTCCAGATGATCCTGCGCTCCTGCAGAAATGGGTGTCTGTTTTGGTGAAAGTCTTGCACGGTATGCAATGAACACCAACTCCGGTCCACAAGATCGTTCTTGGAGATTTGCTTCTCCTCTGGCGAGCTGATGACAATCCCCGCCGAACATATGCAGAGGCCCTTCAGCAGTTGAAGGCCTTGAAGAAGTCCCCCAGATTGCAGAACGTGAGGTCTGATTTCTCTCACCTTGAGGCAGACGGCTGACATCTGTGAAAAAGAAGCACAGCCACAAATCCCTTTGCGGCTTTTTCACGAAATCGAACTCTACATGAATCCTCACATCATGTGCACATCTTGGCTATCGGCTCAGAGTGAACACGGGAGCTTCGCTCACGTCCGGCGGGGTGGCTTCAGGCCTGGGAAGGGTCGGGGCCCCTCTCAAACTTCAACACCTGGTGCAACCCTAAGCCCTAAACCCTCTCAACCCTCCCGCCAAGTCAGGCAATCAAGCAGGATTCAAGCTCAGGGTGGGCTTAACGGCAGATAGGGACCGCCTTCAAAACGAGTTTCAGGCCCAAGCCACCCCTCAGGGAGAGTTGGAGGTTGTTGGTTTCAAGGCGTGTCATGGGGCTCGTTCGGGTGAACAATGAGCAGAGTGCTTCTGCAGAAGCCCTCGGAGAAATGCTCGCAACCCCTTACTTAAGAATATGGTCTACAGATTTAGGGCATAGGGTGGCTTTGTCTACGCCACACCAAAGCTTGTGCACTCTTGGGGGAACAGAAGGCACAAGGGGGCTTAGGCTGAGACTCAGGCTCAGGCTTAGGCTTAGGCTTGGGGTTTCGGGTTTTGGGTTCGCAAAACCGAAGAGCGTCAACCCCTACAACACGTAAACCTTCGACCCAAGGCCTTAAACCCAAAAGTCTTGGACACCACGAAAACTCCTCGAACTTCATCCCAGTTACCCCAAAGCTCTAAGCCCGAACCCCTCAAACCCTCAAAGACTTCTGAAACCCCCGGGACTTCAAGCTGCTACGGAAGCTTTACCTACTCTAAACCCTAAAATCCAAAACCCTAAACCCTTAATCCTAAACCCTAAACCCTTACTCCTAGACCCTAAACCCTTAATCCTAAACCCTAAACCCTTAATCCTAAACCTTAAACCCTAAGACCTCAAACCCTACTAGGCTCCTGAGCCATGGCCGGGCCGGCTGGAGATGCCAGGGACCCGGACTGTGATGCAGGAGGGCGTTGAAAAAACTAAGGGTTTAGGGTTTAGGGTTTAGGGTTTAGGGTTTAGGGTTTAGGGTTTAGGGTTTAGGGTTTAGGGTTTAGGGTTTACCATGACACCTTTTCACAAGAAGCTGTTCAAGGAGACCTGCGTTCTTGCTCTGCGTGGCGGCGTCATTGCGCCAAAGAGTAAATCCGCCTGTAGGTTTTTATAGGATCGCAGAACTTTAGAGTTTTGGTGGCTTTTGTTGTATAGGACCGTGGGTTTTGTGAACTGAGAATACTTGCGGGAACAGGCCCCGAGCTGCACGAAGCAGGGATAGTCAACGCAGGAACCGCAGGACAACGTGAATACACCTGTGCATTCCTGTGCAGCAGCTTGAGTCTACCCATTTCGGCTCCTTTGTTACTATCACCTTAACCCCACAAACTACCCCAAGCCCGAAGCCCCACCAAGCTTCCTAAATGAGACCTGGCCCTTAAGCTTTCCTAGATCGACCACAAACCCCGTAGATGAACCTAAGCCGTAAGGAGGTGTCAGGCTTGTGCCCCCCACATCATGAGCATGTGTGCGCAGCCCTAGAGGCCCTAGTGTTAAGGGGCTTTGGGCTTTCTGCGTGGCGGAGAGATGGCTGAGGTCCGCACGATGTCTCCGCAGGACCTGGGCGTTGCAAGCATTGCAAGCGCAGCATGCGGGTTTAAGTTTTTTTAGCTTTAAGGCTTAAAGGTCAAGGTTCTGTAGGGTTGGGGGGATTGGGCTTTACTTCATGTTGAGAGTTTAGGAGGGGTTCGTGCTTGAGGGTGGCGCTTTTCGGGTTCCGGGATTAAGGCGTTGGTCCAAGTTGGGCCCCAAACCGCTGAACCTGAAGCCGAAAGGTTCTTGTTCATGGACTTGCAAATTGAGTTAGGGTTATTTGAGTTATATGGTTTGTATTTCAAAATCCATAATATGGTAGATCAATTTAGGTTCCGTATCAAGAACCCAATTCGGTTTCCCAAGTGGTATCGCTTCTTTTTGTTTAGGGCAAGTATACCTTGGAAACCCTTGTAAAGCTAAACAGTGGATGCCTTTTCCTAGGCTGTAGGGGGAACATAGATCAATCCGCAGGGTTGTGGGGGTTCAGGGTTGGGGTTTGCCACCCGTCCACAATTGTCTTCGTGGAATCAAATGCAGGTTTTCGAGGGTTTAGATGTAGTTCCCCTGGTTCCTTCGAACAAGAGGGTAGGAGTGTTGGGGTTCGGCCTTGGCATGTGTATGTGGCGATGCTACCACTAACCCTACTAAGTACTCCACAGTGGTACACTTATTCCCCTGTGGATTTCGGTTTGGATCCTTTTCAAAACCCCAAGCAAGAATGGGACGCCTGGTAGGTTTCTAGGTTAGAACCCGAAACCGAAACCCTAATATGCTCAGCGAGCGTCTCAAGGAGACTTCACAATGGTGTAACTCTTTAGCACTCTGTGTGCGGCCCAGCGTTGGAGTTGCCACCTTGGGCCAGTGAAGTCGTACCTTTAGGTTTGGAGACCTTACTTGTATAAAGAACCCTGAGCCGTAAGCCCTAAACCCTGAGCCGCACGGCTTGCTTGTGAAGTGTCCATTATCAGGGTTAAACACCAAGATGTGAACCTTAACAAGCCCCAACCCCGAACCCCATGTCAGGCAAAGGGCTTCTGAAACGAGAGTTAGGGTTTAGGAGTCAGGGCCTCCTGTCACTTGAGTTTCGGTGCTTTTGTTTCGCGCTGAGGGTTTGTGGGTTTCGCAGGTCCAGAATCAAGCTCGGACAGGTTCTTTTGGGCTTGGGAATCTCACTGCATATGCGTGGTCAGATCTGCGAGCAGTGATTCTCAGCTTTCGGGTCCGAAAGACCAAGGCTTCCTCCCCAACATATGTCATGATTGCGAAAAACTCCCAATGTCCTGAGCCGCGAACCCCAAGGCAAGGTTCAAAGACCCCAATGCCTGGGTTTTTCGGTCTATAGGGCTTAAGGAAGTACATGGAAGTACACTTGCAAGGCAGGGGCCGTGTCGGAACAGTTTTTGAAGCCCGGGTCTACAGAGTTCGGAACCTTGAGTTCTGTTCCCTGAATGCTTAAACCCTAAGCCTGGAACACTGAACCCAAGCCCCCAGAAGTCTCAATTCCGCATCCCGTACATGCCGAACCCCAAACATCCTCAAGCTTACCCACGTGGACACAAGAACTTTCCCTCGGCAACCCAAGCAGTTAAGGTGGCGTAAAGGGCCGCATTCTGCGCGACCTCCAGGCAGGGGTTGGGGACTTCTCTTAAGGTTCAGGGTTTAAGGAGGGTCCATGGATTTTGGGTTTTTTTTATGGTTTTTTTGGGGGACTGAGCCCTGAACCCCATGCGTGCTCGGGTTGTCTCTAGCCCCTCAAAAGACCCCAAGTCCTAAACCACGAACCCATGATGGTCGTCGGGGCCTCGGGACCCGAAAACCTAAGCACCCACGTGAAGCCTTCGAGCGTTCGAACCTCACAGATCTCTCTGGGGAGTGGGGACCCGGTACTTAAGGATGAGATTGAGGGACGCCAAAAGCTCTCAACCCTAATCCCGAACATCCTAAACCCCCAAAACCCTCACACGACCCTCACCTCCAGCCTGAACTCTGCTCACCTGCTCACATTCAGAGATTTGAATTTCTCAAGGGTTGAACCCGCCCCAAGCTTGAAACCCAGAATCGATGGTTGAGGGCTTCGGGTTTTAGGGTTCAGGCTTCTGGTCGTTATGGGAGGATGGAGAGCCCTGCTCTAGATTACCTCATCTGCTTTTCAAAAGCAAGGGGGGGAGGTTCATTTCTTCGCGTATCCGTTTTAAGAGGATACGGGCTTACTCGAGATGAACGCTGCGAGGTTTCAGGTTTGAGGGTGTAAGGTTTAGGGTTTACGGTTTAGGGTTTAGGGCCGGGGCCTGGGGCTTAGGGTTTAGGGTTTCGGAAAACCTTATTGCAGGAGCAGATCCAGAAGCGACAAATCGATGGCCTGCTTTTTGACAGGATGCTCAGGCGGTCTCGACCGGAACTGATCTCAAAGTTAGGGTCTTGAGGGGGGTCCTCACTATGCGGAATTTCATTGTTTTTGACGGGGTCAAGAACGGCCAAGACCCCATGAACCCCAACTGAACCCGACAAACCCAGCAACGCCTAGCCACACACCTGAAGCCCCAAACCCTAAGCCCCAAGCCCAACACCCTAAACCCTAAACCATAAACCCTAAACCCTAAACCCTAAACCCTAAACCCTAAACCCTAAACCCTGAACTTAAACCCGAAAACCCCGCACCCTAAACGTGCAATCCTGAGGCTGGAGAGCATGGGCAAATGTCGTTCCTTTCGTTACCTGCGCTGTATCGATGGGCTAGGCTCCTTTTCATTGTGGGTGAGTGCAAATGTTGGAGAAATACAACTCCTGCCTCACGTCACCTCCCAGCCTAGCATCGGGTCCCATTGTAGGTCCCTAAACCCTCAACCATAAGCCCTAATGCAAAGGTCCGGCAAAAGGGAGCCTTCTACCTTGGATCACCCCGTACTTGACCATCCATCCTTTGAAAAAGAAAGCTGCACTTAGCCAGGCAGGATCCCGCGAAGGAATTCTTGCAAATACTTTGTAGATCCCCCCAGAGATCGCCAGCCTGAAGCCCCAAATCTTTCCCACCAAACAAATCCGAAAACTGCAGGCTTTGAGTCAAGGTAAGCCCTGAGCCCACAGCCGTTTCGGACATGGGCTTCATCTCAACCCTTCTCAACGAAATGGAAGGCCCTGAAACCTTCAATTCCTGGGCCCTAAACCCCAAAAGCCTAAACCTCCTGACCCCCCGAAAGCCCTAAACCAACCCTTTCACCCCTAAGCCCTAAACCAACCCCCTCAACCCCCTCCCCCCCGCCCAAGCCCCAACTCCGCCCAAGCCCCCTCAGATGCTGAGTCCAGGAGCAACACCCTGACGGACCTGGGTATTGAGGCACAGCCTCTTTCGGGGCTCTCGGAGAGCTCAGGGTTTAGGGTTTAGGGTTGAAGTTGTATTTCAGCTGCTGCCCCTAACTGCAGTGATGTGGGGCATAGTTTGCGATGACGACTGGTCGCGAAGCAAACGAGCTGCTCACCTGTCAACACGGTGCCGTTCATCTTGCGCACGGAGAAGGAACCGGAAGGTTCATGTTAGCTTCGTATGTTGGAACGCGATCATGGACATGGAGCGCGACAAAATCGAGCAATGCGCATGTCGCTGTGAAAATGTTGGATGCACTTTGCAGCTCTACTGCCATCCAGGAAGTCACTTGAGAAGTTGCTCGTTCGTGCTTAGGATTTAACCTTCCAAAGGGTTTTGAGGGCCCAGCCAGGGCCTTCTAGCCTTTCCATCTCTTCTTCCTGCGGCTCATCAGAGCAGTCCCTATAGTTCTATAGGGTACACGCGCGACTCCCGTTCCCTGGAGCGTAAGCAGGTTCTGGTGGTGGAAGCTTACGTGTCGAAGCTGAGCTTGCAGGTTTACGTCCTTGAAGCCCATGCCTTGAGAGCAGAACTTCCTTCGGTTGCCTGGGAGTCTAATGTGGGTTTAGGTTTAGGGTTTAGGGTTTAGGCTTCAGGACAAATATCTGCAGATCTTCAGGTAGTCGACGATGGGGGCCGGCCCTGCAGTTGCGTGGGTGAAGATAGGTAGTCTGACGCAGTATGATAGGGACCCACTCCTCCACGCTACCCTAGACTGCCCAAAACCCTAAGCCCTAAACTGCAGGGAAGAATCCCAGAGCGAGGCAGTGTGGTTTGAGTTTGGAATGGTTGCATGAGCGGGCTTGAGGGCATAGTGTGTGTTTTTAGTTTTGGGTTAAGGGTTTAAGAGTTTAAGAAGGGTTAAGGGTTTAGGGTTGCTTGGAGACAAAAACTCACCAGCTACTCATTTGAATTACGTAGGCCTCTATATGCTACCCATACTCTCCTTGTTTAGAGGGGGTTTCGGACCCTTACAAATGCCGATCAAGCACAGAGAGGGCAAGCCTAATCAAGTAGGGTCGACTTAAAGATACCATATCTCATGGGAGCCCTTACACAAAAAGGCCGCCGACAGGGACCCTTGCCCCCAGATCTGGCTTCGGATGATGTGGGTCAGGGCTTTCGATTTGGGGCTTTTGGAGGATTCAGGGTTTGGGCCGTAAACAGGATGAGACCTAGGCTCCTGGCCCTGCTACGCCCCTCAGACCCGCGTGTTCAGGAGCTCAATGCACGACTCGCTTTAGCCATCCGGAGAAGTTGGTCGACGGATTTCAGTACACATCTCAGCTGGTGAACCCGGCTTAGGGGTTTGAATTTCTTAAACCCCAAACCCCAAAACCCCCTGAGCTTAGTTTTCGGGGGTTCAAAAGCTTAACCTGACTCAGGGTGTAAGCCTCTACGAGTCTTACAAGGGACGGTGCGCTTCTGCAACATTGAAAGGAGGTAGGCACACAGGTGCAGTACACTGCTTAATATTTCTTTCGAAGGCAACACCCTAGAACCCAAGCTCCAAACCCCCCACCCTTCTTACGCTCTCCCCAAAAGCCCTACATGCGAAGCCCCGGAAACTTCGGATGTGCAGTGGGTGTTCCACCTTAGAGTTCCTTTGTTCAGAGTGCTGTTTTCAAGGCTTGCGGTGCTATTCTTCTCAGTTCTGGCTTCAGGCAACATAGTCTAGCTCTCAATTGCAGCGCTCCTCCTTCGTCAGAAACTTCTTGACAGGGAGACAGGAAGCCCCAAACCTAAGATCTCAGGATGTGCCCAAACCTCAACCTTAAACTTTCCTTGGCCTGAAAACCCTCAACCCTAAACCCTAAACCCTAAAACCTAAACCCTAGACCCTAACCCTAAGCTCTCGGTGGCCTCGTGGTTGGAGGGCTCCTTTGTTGTTCAAGCCAAGATCTTCATCGGGTCTTGCTTGGGTTTGGCCTTTGGCCTTCCTTGTGCATGTTAAGGTTGAGGCTTTCTTTTCATCCCACAGTATAGCAACCTCTTGAGGTATGAGTTCCGAACTTCCGGCGTCTAGAGTTTCCGGATGTTTCCCAGTTTAGGGTTTGGGTTTCAGAGTTCCGGGTTTAGGGCACCCGTGCGTCCCTCCGAGACGGTGTGACCTTCATCGACTATGCTGCCAGCCAGGCCCGTTTGGGGTTTTCAAGCCTCACCGCAGCTCCAGCTAGTACACCCTTTGTAACGAGGGGGATGGGCTTCCAGTGGCCAGGAAGCAAGCGCTGGTCCCTGCTAGTTTGACATTGCCAAGAAACAGATGCCAAAGCCAAACACAGCTGCGAGTGTCAGCGAAGATTCACGAATCCTTATATATCCTGTATATCCCAATATATCCTGAATAGCTTAATATAGCGTAGTATATATCCTAATATTCCCTCATGTATATCCAAACATATCCCCATAGATCCTAATGTATCCTATTGTATTGAAAGTTCGTTTGATGGCAACGGAGGGCTGGCCAGCCATTAGGCTTGCTGAAGCAAAGTCGATGGGCCTAAGCCAAACGCACGCAGTATGACAAGCTCGTGCAAGAGCTTACGGCTCAGAGTGGGGAGCATGAACTCGATGATTGCCTACTCTGATCCTAATTTGGGCTAATCTACTATAAAGGGTCTTGCCTAGCTTTGGGCAGCGACGCACTTAGTAGCCGAATGGCTTCTTGAGTGTTCAGGGGGTCAAACCCTTGAGCGAGTTTGCACCCCTTCAATCAGGAATCCACCCTAACCTGCATAGGGATCCCCTATTGTCCATGAAGTTGTGTTCTTTCATTGAGGGTCTTGGGACGGGTTTGTGGGAAGAGCCCTCTAAAAGCAGCCGAAGCCGCGTTTTCTTGGTTTAGGGTTTAGGGTTTAGGGTTTAGGGTATAGGGCTTAGGGTATGGGGTTTAGGGTTGTGGGCTTAGGGCTGCGTGAGGCGCATTTTCAAAGCCGAATGCCCGACGACGAAGTCCGGCGACAGAAGCGCGTCGAGACCTTGGCGAGCCGTTTCTGCGTTCTCCCTAAACCCTAAACCCTAAACCCTAAACCCTAAACCCTAAACCCTAAACCCTAAACCCTAAACCCTAAACCCTGTTTTTTTCTGAGTGCATGGAGGCCTGTGGGCCCCTTTCGCACACGAACTGACAGTTCGGGGCTTGAACTGGCTTGGCATGCTGCTGGCTTAGGTTTAGGTCGTGGCGTGCTTGCCCTTCAAGCCTAAAATGCGCATGAATCAGAATAGTTGCAGTTTCATACAATGAATGATATGAATGGATTTTGACGGGAAGTGATTTTCCGGGGTTCAGATTCAGGGCTTGACGATGCATCATCATGGGTTTTTGGGCTTCCGAGCAAGTCTTTCTCATGGCTTCCTGGTCCAAACAGATTTAGGGTTTCGGGGTCCCTTACTCTGCCTTAAGTGATTTGAGCGTTTCTGCAGGAACCGCAGAAAGCAAGCCCTGCAATACTCCCGAACCCTGAGAACCGAATCCCAAGTCCCCAACCCAAGCTCCCAAACCGTAACAAACTTGAAGCCCAAACTGTTAAATCCTAAACCCTAAGCTTTAAACCCTTAAAACACTAAACCCGAAACCCTAAACCCTGAACTCTAAACCCTGTTCAGGACTTCCTGAGCCAGATGAGCGTGGACACAGCTCTAGATTCAGAGCGGGGCTGCCCAGACTCCTGCCCCCAAATCAAAACTGTGGGCTTGGGTTGAGGGTTTTTGGGTTTAGGGGTTTAGGGTTTTAGGGTTTATAGGGTTTAGATATTTTTTGGGTTTAGTGTTTTGGGTTTTTGGGTTTAGGGTTTTGGGCTTTTTGGGTCTACGGCTTGGGGCTCAAGGCTCAGGGCTGATAGGGTTGAGAGCTTAGGCTGTAGGACTGTGTACCGTGGTGATGCAGAGTTGCATGGTCCCTTCGCATGGGCCCTTAAAAGGGGACCCCTGTACTAGGGGCCATGAAACTACCTTCCCCCCCAAAAGCAAACCACCCAAAAACAAAAACCCCTAAACCCCTAAACCCCTAACCCCCTAAACCCCTAAACCCCTAAACCCCTAAAACCCTAAACCCTAAACCCTAAACCCTAAACCCCAAAAACTCCGAAGCCAAGTAAGCCAAGGTATTCCCGCGCCGTGGATCCTCGGGGACCTCAGAGCTGGCCCTCCTCCAAGGTGGGTGCGAGGCGGGTAGGGGGAGGTCTAGGCCGAAAAGAATATGCCTTAAATCACGTTAGGGTTCCTAATTTAGTTTAAGGTATATCCCCTGAATTACGGGGTTTTGGAGTCTCTGGGAGGCAGAACATCGAGGCGCTAGGCCTTGCCTGCACGTCTCCCCTCTCGGACAAAAGCCATTCTGCACCCACTCCCAGCACACATCCCACGTGTCCTGCATGCAGTACCCTACGGCTAGCATCCACTTATGCAGATGCTTTAGGGTTTAGGGTTTAGGGTTTAGGGTTTAGGGTCTAAATTTCGATTCGATTCCCCATCCTTGAAGGGGGGTGAAGGCGGGGAGGGCTGTCTTGGGGTCGCAGGGTTTAGCCTCGAACCCTCAACCCGCAAAGCCCATATGCCCAAAACCCTAGAACCCTCAAACCCCGAAAGCCCTAAACCCGAGAACCCTCAAACCTAAAGCATGAGCCCCAAAAGCCTCTCAAATCCCAGAGCCCCGAGCCAGAATCCCTAATCCCCGAAAAAGACCCTCGGGCCCGCAAAGCCCAAAACCCCGAAAAACGGTTTCGGGCCTGGACATGGGCCATGCTGCGAGAGACCAGAAGACTGAACTCAACCCTACAGGCTCACATGCAAATGCCTTGAACGACTCCTTCAATCCCAAGTTCTAGAGACTTATAAGCCACCTTAAGCCCGAAGCCCCAAGCTCCAGACACTTGAGCCCTACATCCGAACCCCAAGCCCCCGAACCTTGACAGGGCCCAACCCTAAACCCGAAACCTTCCTAGGCTTTTTCTCAATGGCCTTTGAAAGGGTGCACTTGCCCCCAAACCCTTTTGGAGTACCCGCAACGCCTACCTAAGCTTACTCAAGCTCACCTCAAGCAAACCAACCAACAGCCCTAAATTCCTAGCTGTGTGAGTTTCCCACATCCCAGGGAGCCACCGAACTGGTCTCCCTCCATGGGTCGTGGAGGCCGGGGCCCTATGTCTCAGGGTTGCGGGTTTCGGGTTTCGGGTTTCGGGTTTAGGGCTTGGGGCTTAGGGTTAGGGCCTTCGGGGGCAATTAGGACCCTAACTTAGGGTTCTGGTCCAGGGTTTAGGATGGTTCATGAGGGTTGAGGAGCAAAATGATGCGGCGCTGGACCCGGACCTCATATGAGCTTCAGCCCCAAACCCGAAGCCCTAAACGCAACCCTCAGACCCCAAAACCCCAAATCCTCGACCGCAAGCCTCAAAACCTCAAACCAAAACCCTGAGACCCTAAACGCTTCAAACGCCAACCTGCAAACCCTAGACCCCCAACCCACGCCAAACCCTAAAACCCCACATCCACGGCCCTACGCCCTTCGAACCCTTCAATCTCTAAACGGTAAACCGTAAGCCGTGAATCCCTCGAAACAATGTCCACCGCCACACTGCCAGTCAAAGGCCCTCCCTCAATTCTAAGAAGTTCTTAACCCTTAAACCCTGAAACCCTAAGCCCCGAAACCCTAAACCCCCAAACCATAAACGCCGCCCCTGAACCCTGAAACTCCACACCCTCGACCCTGAAACCCCAAACCTAATGACCCTCCAACCTCAAGGGAATGAGGGAACGAGGTACCCTATGATATTCCCCTAAAGGGTGCATAAGCCCTAAACCCTAAACCCTGAACCCTCAACCCTAATCCCTGAACCCTAAACCCTAAACCCTGAACCCTAAACCCTAAACCCTAAACCCTAAACCCTAAACCCTAAACCCTAAACCCTAACCCTAAACCCTAAAACATAGACCCTACTAAGAACCAGGGGGAGAGAGCCGCCACCAGGCCGGGCCCCGATGCGAGGAGACCCAATGGCCATGGAGCGTGGCATGGCCCGGTCCTTGATGTAGGGGTTTAGGGTTTAGGGCTTAGGGTTTAGGGTTTAGGGGTTTGGGGTTTAGGGTTTAGGGTTTGGGGTTTAGGGTTTAGGGTTTAGGGTTTAGGGCTTGGGGTTTAGGGTTTAGGGTTTGGGGTTTAGGGTTTAGAGTTTAGGGTTTAGGGCTTGGGATTTAGGGTTTAGGGTTTAGGGTTGAGGGTTGAGGGGTTTAGGGTTTATAGGCTCTAGGGGCTTCAGGGCATTGGTGCTCGGGGTTTTGGGGGTTGGGCTTCAAACGCCTCCCTCAAGGGCTTGTGTCTCTGAATTCAGTCAGTAGCCAGCTGAGCCGTCCACAGGTCCTAAAGGCTTCAGGGCTTAACTGTAAACCCAAACCCCGAAACCGACCCCTGAACCCTAAACCCTAAATCCCAATCCTAAACCCCCCCCGAGTTTCGTTGGAGGTGCATGGCGGCGGCCCGCGCGACCCGAGGTTTGAGGACTGCGGGCTTATGGGAATGGACGCCTCAGACCCCAAGCGCCCGACCCTAAACCCGGAACCCGAAACCCTAAACTTCTTCGAGCCCCTTGAGGATGCCGTTGAGGCTTTTGTTCACTTGAGGCCTGGTGTTGAGGGCCCAGAGAGCTCGAAACACCGGAGTTGAGGTAAGGGCCCAGAGAGCTTGAAACATCTGAGTTGAGGTAAGGGCCCAGAGAGCTTGAAACACTTGAGTTGAGGGGTTTGTACCGTATTTCAGAGAACATGAACCCTTTTTTTAGCAGAAGGTCTCTTCCGAAGCCAGGGGGTATTGGGCTCCCTGAAGTTTAGAGCTTCAGCAATCCAGGATGCATCCCACAAGCCTTACCACTGAAAAGCCGATTGACTCCTGAAGGCTTCTGCACACTTCAGGGCTTAGGTCTGACAGCGGGATGCGGTTTTTCTAGCTAGAAGCCCAAACTCGGGTGACCACCACTCCTGCCAAAGCTTTCCGGCTGAGGATCCCTATCCGCCTATGGAGCCACGCGCCGCGAGCCGAGTGTGAGTGACTTCTTGCGTTTTAGCCGCTTGGAGCCTGTGATCCTAGGGCTGCTGAGCATCCTTGGGAGGCCTGTGATCCTTTAAGCCCCAGGCCCCTTTGCCGGAAAAGAGGGGAGGGGGGGGGGGGGGGGTGTGGATGCTTTGAACCACGTCTTAAGGATTCCATGGGGCTCCGTTTGAGAACTCCGGCCTCTGCCCTGATCTCGAAGCCCCTATGCCGAAACCTGCTCCCACACCGGCGTGCACAGAAGGTGCCACCGCCGTTTCCGGGAGTGCGGCCCTTGGAGTTCTCAGCTGGCCAGGAATTTTCTATATATATATATATGTATATGTATATGTATATGTATATGTATATGTATATGTATATGTATATGTATATGTATATGTATATGTATAGATATACATATGTATAGATGCCAATGTCAACAGAAACAGAAAAGTGTATATGAAAAAAACATGTATGTAGATATTTACGTATGCATATACAAATGCAAAGGCAAGATCCGGGCTTTCGCCGGGCAGTGATTCGGAATCCCAAGCCCCACAACCTCATCCTAAGGCCTGCAAGCCCTGCTCCCTATGCCCTTTCCGAGACCTCAAACTCATAGGGTTTAGGCGTTAGGGTTTAGGGTTTAGGGTTTAGGGTTTAGGGTGACTCAAACTCGAAAAACGGACGATCGCAGGAGCGCAGCTATGATCTCGATCCTTGGGAGCGGGGGCCGCCTATGGCTGGGGGATCCCAGTTTCTTGGTTCCCGGTGGTCCTTGTGTGGGCTGGGTTCCCTTGTAGGCCCCCATGAACTGGGATGCTGAATTAGTAAACCCTAAACCCTAAACCCTAAGCCGTTAACCCCTAAACCCGAAATCCTAAACCCCAAACCCTAAACCCGGGTTCGCATTCCGGGAATCCACCTTATAACCAGACAAGGGCATTTCTTTTTCATGCCCAGGTTGCTCGGCGCGGTCGTACGGAAATCCGTGCGGCCATGAGAAGACACGCGAGGATTCGATCCCCAAAACATGGGAAGACGAGCGAAGACGAGCGAAGACGAGCACAGACACATGAAGACGAGCGAAGACACGGGAAGGCACGCGAAGTCACGCCACCGGGAATCGCTTGACCTCGCTGCCCACGAACCCTAGACACTCAACTCCAAACAGGCCACAACCAGTGGTGCAGGCAGCGTTATCAGTATGGGTCCGTTTAGCGGTGTGTTTTTGGTAGTCGCTTAGAAGGTCCAGAAGCCGTTAACCTTGCCATGGCTTGACAGGGAGTTAGAGAACGAGGCTTTAAGGTTTAGGATAGTTTAGGGTTTCGGGTTTCGAGTTTCTAAGAACCAGTGAGTAGCATTAGAGCGGCAGGTGCTGGCGACTCGGGCCTTTTATGAGGGCTTAGACTTCCTTCTAAACCCCTTGAAACAAAGGGAGCCGTTTACTCTCCGGGACCTATAGTTTCCTAGACACAGCCCGGGAGACATGCAAGTGTAGCGAATCATGTGATAACATATCGCATCATGAGGATGACGTTCACATCATCGTGGGACACCAACCGCATCACCTCAATGCCCACCGGAACCTGAAGCCTTGAGGCCGAAGCCAAACCATACGGGAAACCCACACGGTACAAGAGTTGTTATGACTCATTGTTAGCGGCTCATCGCCAACCGGGCATAGCAATCAAGAACTAAAGGTTGTAGAGATGCATACTCTGTGGCTTCCAGCCGAAGCTTTGGTCCTGAAGCTAGTGGCAAACCTGACCCGCATCACCCTCGACCAGCTCGCCACAACCGCGTTTTAGGGTTTTAGAGCTTGCCCACCCTTGAAAGAGCTACCGAAGCCCCAAACCCCGAAACTCTGGCTTCAGGCCATGGACAGACGTGGCGAGCGTGGGTTGCGGGCGTGGGGCCCAGTTTGCCATCTTCGGGGCTTGGTGACCGTTTCCTTAGAACCGAGTCGTTCGTTGTAATATGCAGCCCAAGGGAATGGCGAGGATGTGCTGCAAAGCTCAACCCTGACCATATTAGAACCTAGGCCCACAGATGTTCAGACATGTGCGGCCGTGCAGGAATGGGTTCTGGGGAAGGGTGGAGACATGATGATCTTTCCTACAGGGATATCTGAAAAGGGCAACCCTGTTTCGGGAAAACCACGGCATGTACTGCAGAGTGTCAGTCTTCCAGGGTTGAGAACTTGAGGTTCCACTCTGGTGTAGCCAAGGTCTGGAGTGTGCAGTACGCTTTGGGGGGTGAACTCGCTGTTTCGGGTGTAAGGAGGGGGTTTGAGGGTGGAAGCTGTTCGGGGTTTGGGGCGCCTGGGAGTGAATCATGGGCTTTTGGTTTGGTGCTTGGAGTTTTTTTTACCACGGGATGAAAGATTTTGTAATCTGCTTGGATTACTGGTGTTACTAGGACGCCCAGTGCTATCCTTGCTTCCTTTTTTGTGGTCAGGGCGCCCTATTCGATTCTTAGGTTTTTCTGGAAAGTCCATGCCCTGAACCCCGAACGGTACGAAACCCAAGGGTTTAGGGTCGGGTTTCGAGTGCTTGCGCCTCGCAGCCTCCTCCCAAGCCCGTTTCCGACACCTTGGCCATCACTCAGAAAAGCGGCTCACAGCCAGCACCTTGCGACACGTATACGGCACACACGCGCACGTACACACATACGTACACAGGGATTCATGTCCTCGTATGTGCATATATTCATATACACATATACGCATATACACATATACACACACGTATATATATATATATATATATACACATACATATGTGTGTGTGTTTATACGTACATAGTAAGTTGTACAGCATATCTTCGGGTTGGCCAACGTAGGGATGCAGCGTCAGTGGTCTAAACGGGGCGCAAGTGCACGCCACTCCGCAGGGACGGGACGACTTTGACATGCAGCGCATGCCACTCGGACGAGGCCCAACAGGGTTCCGGGCCTCGGGAGTCTCCCAAGACCGAAGCCAAAAGCCTTAAAGCCTTACTTGCAAAGGGTTTCGGGTTCTTCTATTTTTTGGTGGATAAGGTCACTGTAGGTACACCCACAGTTTCAGAAGCCTAGCCCGGACCCAAGAGCCAGTTCGATTGGCCTGCCTTTGTGCATCTCCAGGGTACACGACTGTTGGGGAACAAAGTTTACGAGGCTTTGGGTGCCTAGGGTTTAGGGTTTAGGGTTAAGGGTTTAGGGTTTAGGGAAGACAAGCGGGCAACTTGGTGCGGACTCCCAACAGCCCTGTGTCTGTAGTCCTCCCTAGATGTTCCTCACTCTCTGTGTGTTGTCCTCGCCTCCTCGTCAGAGAGCCCTCAGAGCCAAGCATCCCCGGTGTGCCCACCTTCCGCAATTGCCTGCTTTCCCACGTCAGGTGGCTGTAGGGTGGGGATGATCGATGTAAGCAGTTGTGTCATTTTGGTTAACAAGCCCAGCAAACTCAAATCAGGGTTGTTTTCTTTCTGGGGACATTCGGGCTGTCAGGCTTAGGGGTGTGAGGCTCTAGGGGGCTTTGGCTCAGGTTTTTGGACTACAGTTTAGGGTTTAGGGTGTAGGGATGCAGACCTTTCTGAGCAGATATTGGCGATACCAGAGCCATCGTGCGGGTGCACAGTTTAGCTTTTTCTTGGGGTTCGAGGTTTAGGATCCAGGGTGTTCATCATGCCCAAAAAGCACGGAGCCTACCAACAGCATCTTGCAACACTCTTCTCACATCCAGCATCCCAAAAACTCTAAGCGGAGTATCGTCGAGGACATCGCGCCTTCGTCATTTTGCCTTGCCGCCCCAAGATCGGCATGTAGGCTGCAGCCACTGATCTTTGAAGCCCGGCAGACTCTGCAAGATACACTAGCTTACAAACCCCGAAGCCCTAGCCTCTATATGCCCTAAAAATACTACAAAATCCTCCTGTCTCCCGAATTGGACCTCTGTTTTTTTTGGAGTAACTTAAACCCTCTACCCTAAGCCCAAAACCCTGTGTTTTTCAGCCTGCCATTCTCGCAGGCTCACCGGGGTTGCAGCTTCCACCCTCCCCAAATACGAGAGATCAGCGCCTTGGGCGAAAGACTTTGGGGTGTAGGGTTTGGGGTTTAGGGTGCAGGGTTTGGGGATTGGGGTTTTGGGTTTAGGGTTTAGGGATTGGGGGTTTAGGGGTTTTCCACGAGCTCTTGGTAGGGGACTTCGGGAGTTCGGTACTGCATCTCCCCTCTCCCCCCGGCAAACGTACCTTTAAGGCCACTTCCCCTCAACAAAACCGCACCTCGAGATCAAAGCCGGTGAGGGTTCTTGGGTGTTGGGTGCGGGGGATGGGGTTTTGGTGCTTCGGGCGCAGGGTTCTCGACGTTTCAATGCGCAAAGCCTTGGTTTGTGTGGAGAGGCCTTGTTTATTTGTTCTTCTCCCCAAGCCTTTCGGGTGACTGGACATAGGTTTGGGATTTCAGGGCTTTAAGACCTGCTTGTCCTACACTTGTATCCCGAACCTTTCCCGAACCTTTACCGCTCAATTGCATCAGGTATGGCGGCTACCCAGACCCCGGGTATTCTGATCCAGGCGGGAACCCGATGACGAATCTGCGGGAAAGTCGATAGCAGTTTGGTTCGGTTTAGGGTCTGGGGTTTTGGGTTTGGGGTTTGGGGTGCAGTGAAACCCACTGCTCCACACTTTCGGTCTGAGGACCTGGGCCCTCCCTTTCGTGCAGTGCCATCGGGCATGAAGTGTGGTGTGGACGTAGGCTAGCCCGAATTGGTATCGAAACCCTAACCTCAAGAACCCCAAGCCCTTCAGTTTTAGGTTTTGCGTCGGAGATAGAAGAGCCACGTGTCCAACAACCTGGCTACAGCAACTCGAAACCCCTGCTTGGGCGATGTCTCATGGCAAGGATACGACAGTTCAAGAAACCCCCCATACCTTGAACGGAAATCCTGAGGCATCAAGCTTTTGGGGTTTAGGGTTTAGGGTTTAGGGTGCCGGTGGTGAGGTTACGACGATCCTTACGATCGACAGCCCTTGCATCTTGATCGAGATCCAGGAGGGCCGTGCCGGTCCCCTGTCCATAAGCCCCAATCCCGAAACCCGGGAAAGGGGGGGATGAGTGATCGTATGCTTTGAATAAGAGGTTAGGTTGTAGGGTTTAGGGTGTTGAGACAGGACGTGATTCGGCCTTTAAAGCAATCGTTGGGGGAAACGACGACGCTGGGACAACAAAGCATGCCACGCAGCCTTCGCGGCGTGTGCAACTCGCTTGCCGAAGCCCTGCTGTCGCCCTAAGCCTTAAACCCTATACCCTAAAGCCTAAAGCCTGAACCCTAAACCCTAAGCCCTAAACCCTAAACAGTAAGCCCCAATCTAGTATGTTGCCGTGACAAGGTTGCGGCGAGGAACGTTCAAACAACTTGCGGAAGCAGTATTTGCAGATTAGCTTGGGGCAGTTGATCTTGCGGAGTCGGCTCCATGGGTAGGCTAAGATCTACGAAGAGTGGAGACTCGCAGACTCGGAGACTTCAGGTGGAGCGACTCTCTCCCGCAACAGTGGATAGCATGAGTCGAGGGCAGCTGCGTTCTTGTGTCGGATGAGAGCAGTTTCAGCAACAACGCCTGAGTAACAGCTTTGGTGAGCACGGTCAATTCTGCAATAGCACAGCAGATGCGAAGGAGGAGCCTGCGTGTGTCATCAGTAGCCTTGCATTCTGTGGCTGAATTCGGCTTGAGCACGGGGGGCCAACCGGCAGCTCCTTAGTGTCCTCATGAGACCATAGCATTGCCTTGCCTCCAATGGGGCCAGGTGTGGGGGAACAAGTGGGTGGGCAGCTTCGCCAGCGGAACTTGCCTGGCACGAAGGCTGCACACATGTGGAGTTGGCGGGCGCGGCCCTTCGATACATATCACGGCCCTCTCGCGCTCGCCGAATTCATACAGGACGTTTTGCGGGAGAATCCTGCAGACTTGGACAGGATCTACGAGCTGCCAAGTCCGGACACTGACAGCCTGGTGTGGCAGTATGAGCATCTGCGCCAGTTCGTGACAGAGTTCAACTTGCTCCTGGTTGCACTGACTGGCACGTGCACTCCGGAGACGTGCCCAAAGATGACGGCATCGAACGACTGGCAGTATCTTTGCGCCGCCCATAGGAAGCCCCAGGAGTGTGCAGCCATAGACTACATGACTCACACGATTGACGGCTCAACGGCCTTACTCACTGTGGCCTGCCCTTTCTCTTCGCGATCGCAAGTACCCAGTAGCAGCACCAAGTACTTCCAGTCCATGTCGCGGCGCTTGTACCGAATCTTTGCCCATGCATCTTGGTAGCTGAGAGGCACCCTGTTTGGACTATGGGTTCCCTTGTAACAGTAAACTATAGTAAACTATAGTAAACTATAGTAAACTATAGTAAACTATAGTAAACTATAGTAAACTATAGTAAACTATAGTAAACTATAGTAAACTATAGTAAACTACCAAAAGAAAGGGTACCCCTTGTGAGAAGATGGTTACTACCAAGGTATACTTCCATCACAGGGAGCATTTCGACATGCTCGAGGCAGAGCGGAGGCTATGTGCCCGCTTCTCTCATTTTGTGTTGCGGTACCAGCTGATGACCCGCTCCATGTTACTCATTCCTCCAGAAGGCTACGACATCGAGTAGGCCGCGAGTCGACATCGACATGAGAAGATATCAACACAACTGTTCAAAAGGGTCTGGTTCTTGGGCTGCTTGTCGCTGAACTGTGCCCCGACTGGAGCGTCTGAAGCTGTGCCATTCTTGCAGCGCCCGATCGCAGGTTCTGGTCTCGCCTATGTTTGTAGCACGTCATGAAGCACGTGCCAACAAAGGTTATGTCGCGCTGCGGGGCTTCTAGGGCAAGGGTCGCTAGGGTGTGCGTGTTAGTCTGCTTGGGATTTAGGGTTAACCCGATAACGCTAGAGCTCTGGAACCTGGGACAGTTCAGGCTCACTTGTCTGCAGTTTAAGGCTGAAGGTGTTGGGGCTGAGTGCAAAACTCCATTGACCCTAAACCCTAAGCCCTAAGCCCTTCCTTTGCTTCTGCAGGGTCAGCCTCCGCCTTACAATGCCTTGCGCCCCACAGATCCCCACGGCCCCGGAAGTCCACGTCAGGACGCGCCTATGGCGGATACCCAGACAGAGGCTCACGACTTTCGGGGCCCTGAAACCTACAAGGGTATAGCTTCTAGAGCCAGGGGTGCATGGCTAACCCTATACAAGGCTTGACGGGTAACCACTCTCTCTCTCTCCCTCTCTCTCTCGCTCTCTCTCTCTCTCTCTGTCTTTGTGTTTCGGGTAAAGTCCCCTTCCCATGACACACCGACACACACACAGAAAGCATCAGCAGGCACGATGAACAACCACAAGTTTTTCTTGCCGATTTCCATTCCTGGTGAAGACTTAGTCAGGAGTCCATTATACTGATTGCCCAACTGAAATTCCTAAATTAGGAGCCTGGGCTATTACCAGAAGTTTCATGATAGAGTTTGTTGAAGTTTGTTGTATTCAGCACTCAATTCTACCCGAATTTCCCAAATTCAATGTCTTACGCTTCTACCTGGATATACAGATACAAAACCGTAGGGCAGGTAAATGAAGCCGAGTCATGAAACTACAGCAACTTAGTCAAGAGGTGATTCAAACTACAAGTCAGCTCAGCGGCTATTTTCTTTGAAATGCTGTCGTGTTGTGCAGGGGTTGTCGTCTGAAATGCCGTAGCTCGTGAGTGCATCGGTTTCCCCACTAGCTGTCCTTCACTGTCTCCAATATCCCCGGCTACTTAACTAGTATTGTTGTATTTGCGAATGTTCTTGAGCTCCGATCCTGTTTTTTCAACTCAGTTGAACAGTTCGTCGGAAGCTCGGTTGTCCGAGTAGCTGTCCTTCATTCTCTCCCAATATTCAAGGCCATTTAAGTCCCATAGTTGCATGCAAGAAGTATAGTTTCACGACTTGTGACCGATGGGTATAGTCAAATGAGTCTAAATCAACAAACTCTATCATTGAATGGTTTTATGATTATCTAAGCATGCCTATTCAGCTAGCTCCCCTCCCCAAAACGCAAGAAATAGGCACCTTGAGAAACAAAACACCTGGTTACAAGCTCGCATCATTAGGGTTTGGTTTCGCAGATACATGCTTGACCAGGCCCTAGCCCCCATGAGGTAGATCTCGGATCCAAGATACCAGTACCAGATCGAAGGTTTCCAGGCCTCAGAAACCAAGGTCCAAGATCCAAGGCGTTGAAGGGGGTTTAGGGTTGGGACTGTTGGCCTGGATGCTGCTGCCTAGAGCTCGGCTTGCCCCCTACTCTTGTGCAGCAGGCATTTAAGGGCTCATGGCTTCGGGACTTGGGGAATTTGGTTTCGGGTCGGGGTTTCGAGTGTCGTTCTTGGACGCACGCTGCCGTTGCGCAGCAGCGCCGGATGCAGGTGTTCCATACTCTCCAGAGGCCTGGGCTGTTCTGCTTGGGTTCAGAGCCTACGGCTGCTCTTTTGGTTCAGGGTTCAGGTAATTTGCTTATAACACCCGTCGCTGCTGGGTACATTGTGATTTTTCGTCAGGTTCTGACAGGACAAGCCTCAACCCAAGTATTCAAGCCGCAGCCATGGGCAGTTCCAAGATGTTCTAAGTAGGGTTGTGAGCACCCCAAACAGCTTCCCAAAACTCTTAGTCCCCCCACTTGTAACCCTAAACCCTAAACCCTAAACCCGAAATCCTAAACCCTAAACCCTTGCTTTAGCTACCCTTGGAGCTCAAGGGATGTACCGTTTCCCTTTGAGGCTTTCGCGTCTCTCCGGGCCAGCAGTTGTGGTGCCTGTTAGGGGGTTTAGGGTTTAGGATTTAGGGTTTAGGGCTAGGTTTATTTAGGGTATTTCTTATGTGAGAAATTATAGCCATAGAAACTTAAACCCACCCTAAACCTGCAGGTATTCCCACATATAGAGGCACCACATTTTGGGTCTAAGGGGGAGTATGCCAGAAAAGAGAGCCGGAAAGGGCACATGACTTGGATCGGGCCGCGCTTTACGAATCCTAAATCCTCAACCTTAAATAGGTTCAGAATTTAGGCCTTAGGGCTTATAGGGCTTAGGGTTTAGGGTTTCGGGTTTCGGGTGTAGAGCTCAGGGTTTAGGGGGGGTTTTCGGGGTGTTTTTGGGCTCGGGGTTCTCAGCCACAGGATGGGCGATACGATCGTCACGCCTCGAGGAGGAGTCCCGGCACCTCTCCTGCAAAGTGGCACTTCATGTCGGGCGTAGGGCTTAGAGATTAGGGGTTTTCTGGGACAGCTTCAGGTGGGTACTGAGCTGTTTTCCTATAAGAGTCTCATAAGAGGCTCTACATAAACCGTGTTGCAACTGGCTTTCTCTGTCCGTGCTTTAGTGACTGTCCATCAAATACGGTTTATTAAACGGGGTTGGGGTTTAGCGTTTATGGCTTGGGCTTTGGAGTTTAGGCCGTAGGGGTGTCAAGTGTTCAAAAAGGTTGCGACATGGTTCTCCACTGCTGGACGCTCAGATTCGTGTTTTTGTCGGGAAACAGCCGAAGGGACGGCGAAATCAGAAAACTCGTGACCTCCGTCAGCCTCCAATCTTGAACGGCTCAGGCTAAGGGTTCAGGGCTTACGGTGCCATCCCAACTAGTGAATCACCTAATCACCTCTCCGCGTTGGAGCGCTAGCTCGGTCGAAGTGTGTTTGCCAGGTGCTTCTGACGATTGGGGGGGCCCGCGGCTTGGAGCTTGCGGGGTCTTGCTCGGCTTCCCAGGGCCCTAGGAGGTGGGTTTAGGGTTTAGGATCTAGGTAGGGTTTAGGAGGTCCTTAAGCTGTGGTAGCTCACGTGTGAGGCTTGGCTTCTTGGATTATGGGTTTTGCAGGGCCAAAACCTGGAAGCCTACACCCTCGAATCTCTAGTAACCTCGATCCACGACTTGTTTTAGGCGGCCTTTCGTAGCCTTTTCTATAACGCTGAGTTTCCATCTATGTCCACTCCAGAGTCTGAGAGCGACTCGGGATATATATATATATATATGCATATACATAGTCTTTTTTGACCTAAGGTAAATACGTTTCTTTGTTCTTGTAACTTCGGGATGTAGAAGTTCAGGGTTTATGGTTTAGGGTTTGGGGGGTTTCGGGTTTGGGGTCTCTAGGGTCTTGGGGTTGGGGGTTTAGGGCAAGATTATGTCATGACCTCCCCTCTGGCGGCAAGGACGTCTGTGTTACATTCTTCAGGTTTCATGTTGAAGGGGTTGTTGGGATAAGCCCCCAGCCCTCAAAGTCCTCGGCATTTAGGCTGAACATGTCGTTCTCGGCCTTTTAACCCTCAACCCTAAACCCTAAACCCTAAACCCTAAACCCTAAACCCTAAACCCTAAACCCTAAACCCTAAACCCTAAACCCTAAACCCTAAACCCTAAACCCTAAACCCTAAACCCTAAACCCTAAACCCTAAACCCTATGGCCAGGCATGGGTCTGGACCAGGCTCTGCCTAAGCAGGCCTGTGGGTATGCACAGGACTGGCAGGCCTAGGAAAGCATGGAGGGGCTGGGCTTAGAACGCGACCTCCCTTTATGCGTGCCTGTGTACACACCTATGACCGTGAGACTCAATAGACTCTGCGAGGGACTGTTCCCTCTGGGGCGAGCTGTCTCGAGCAATCATAGTTTGGCGAGATGTCTCGAAACGTGATAAGACCTCTCATTGCTGGATCGCCCGAAGCCCGAAGCCCTCCTCGGTCGGCTTTCATACAGGCGCCCATTCCCGGCAATGTGGCACGCATGTACGCTGAGGCTGGGCTGCGCTAGAGAGCCTTAAGAGGCTCTGGCCCGAAGAGGGTTCGGGGTTACGACAGCCGCGAGCCCTCAAGTGGACCTACTAGCCCCTCAACACTGTAGAGGCCTAAACTATGAATTGCCAGACCCCCGTCCCCTCCCTCCCCGCCAAACCCAAACTCTAAAGCCCTAAACTCTCAAGCTCCGCATGGCCATTCATCCCACGGAAGATCTCACGCCACATGGCAACAGATTCCTGATGCGGGTCTCGTGGACACAAACCTTGCCTAAACCCTTTCGAAACCCTAAAGCCCACAAACTCTGAACCCTGCATCCCTAAACCCTCAACCTTGAAACCCTTGACACGCCATGCCCTGAAGTCTCTGGAGCCAGGGTGGATCGCGGGGAACCCCACCAGGGTCACGCGGGTGTGGGACTCAGCTTCTGAGTCCAGGTTTCTTTGTGAGGGTTTAGGATGGAGCTGCGTGGAAATCCCAAACGCCGACAGTACAGGCCACTTCCATGGGTCCGAATGTGCTGCATGGCCCCAAAATACACTGTCTAGCCGGCCTTCCAGAAAGGCCAAGAATCCATCTTGGGTAAGATACCATGGCCCTGTAGTAGGGCTTCCCATCAGAACTTAAGATGTCTTCCTTAGCCGCGCGCCTTCGAGAGCAGGTTCCGCGGCCTCGAGGCAGGGCGGCATTTGTGGCCGTTTTGGAGCTGCTGGGAGGTTCAGACTTTGGGGGTTTGGGGTTTAGGGTTTAGGGTCTAGGGTTTAGGGTGCTTCTACAACCCAATTTCTCGGTAGGCCCTTAAGGGACATTTTATATCTTCCCTTATTGGGTTTAAGAGGATCGTATTCAGGAGGATCTTTCGGAGGGCTTTAGGGGCCATCCTAGATTTGATGTAGTTATGACCCAAGAGAGAGTCTCTTGAGGTGATTCAAGGTTTGTAGACCTCTAGAGGCTGAGACCCGCAAGAACACCCACAAACTACCCCATAAAGGTCCTGTAGGGTCCCTGTCACGCAGCCCCTTCCCCTGTTTCATACTCATGACCTAGCGAGCCTGGGATGCCCCCAGCAGTGCCCAGAGTCTCTTTGCCTGGGGGGAGTACGATCCCTTCTCATCCGCACTCATCAAGCCAGGGCGCCCCCTTCTTATTTTGTGATACCGAGCAACCCTGAACCCTAAACCACATACAACTGCAGCAACATCATCTTGCCTTGTAGTTCCAGATCCACGTGTTCTTCGAAGGTTAGTACCAGCAATCTGTCCAGAAAAAGTGAAGCCCTCTGAAGCACAAAAGCCCCGGGACCCTCAACAAAGCTCCACAGACGAACACCAAAGCCATCACAACGCACGAAACCCCAAGCCTTAAACCCTGAGCCACGTTTCTTGCCCTAAGCCTGAACAAGTCAGGTTCACGGGTAGCGAAATCCCAAAACAAGACGGTGGACGTGTACCCCCTTAGTCCGAACCAAGATTGCGTCCATGATACCAGTGCGACCATTGCAGCAAAGTTTACAGGCCCGCTCCAAACTTGAGAGCCCTAACCTTGAACCTCAACGTCGGGCCCCGAAACCGCAAACCCTCAAATCGACCTGTTGTAAGCGGCTTAAGCCCTAAAGACCTAGCAGGATTTTTACACTGCGCAGACCTATTTAATCTAGTGTGTGCGGTACTTTGAGGCCCAGGTACACCCTGATCTGCCAGCCGAAGCCCGAAACCCTTGGCCCGTAGCCGTAAACCCTAAACCCTAAACCCTAAACCCTAAACCCTAAACCGTAAAACCCTAAACCCTAAACCCTAAACCCTAAACCCTAAACCCTAAACCCTAAACCCTAAACCCTAAACCCTAAACCCTAAACCCTAAACCCTAAACCCTAAACCCTAAACCCTAAACCCTAAACCCTAAACCCTAAACCCTAAAAACTAAACCCTAAACCCTAAACCCTAAACCCTAAACCCTAAACCCTAAACCCTAAACCCTAAACCCTAAAACCCTAAACCCTAAACCTTAAACCCTAACCCTAAACCCTTAACCCTAAACCCCTGCGAATTGCGAGGCTCCTGAGCCAGAAGTGCCAATGCCATCGGGGCCCTCGAAGGCCCTTCTGGGAAGCCTCAGCCCTTACGCTGTTTAGGGTTTAGGGTTTAGGGTTTAGGGTTTAGGATGTCGGGTTTAGGGTTTAGGATGTAGGGTTGAAGGGTTTTAGGGTTTAGGATTGAGGGTTTATGGTTTAGGAGAGTGAAGCTGAGCACCACCCTTGTGGAGCTTAGCGTGTTGTGTGCACGCGAGGGGGATTTGGGAGTGGGGCTCAGGTTTAGGATTTAGGGTTTAGGGTTTAGGGTTTGGGGTTTAGGGTTTAGGGTCTAGGGTTTAGGCTTTTAGGTCGGGTATCTGTGTGAACATGCCAGGCCCCCAAAATCTGCCCCGAAGCTGAATTCCGGAGACTTCGGGTTCAGGGTTTAGGGTTGAGGGTTGAGGGCTGAGGGTTGAGGGTTGAGTCAACCCTCAACCCCAAACCCTAATGGCATTGGGCTCCCTCGGGGGTGCCCTTCTAAACCCTAAAGCCCGAAACCCTTAAAGCCTAAGCACATGCAGAACCCCAAGCCCTCAACCATAAAGCCCGGAACCCTTAAAGCCTAGCCTAAGCCCTACACCCTAAGAAATGGGGGAATGCCTCCGCTGCTTGCATTCAGCGCCTGGAGCCAGGGGGGTCGTGCGAACGCGCGGCGCTCAGGTTACTCCAAAAGACTGCTAGGCGCCATGTGTCGATGGGCGCCTAGGGTTTAGGATTTGGGGTTTAGGTTTTAGGGTTTAGCGTTTAGGGTTGGAGTTTAGCGTTTAGGGTTTACGGTTTCTGCTATAGGAGCGTTTTGAAAAATATGTATGATGATGATGATGATAATGATGATGATGACGATGATGACTTTTGTATGATCATTATCGCAGGTGTCTGTTCCTGTCGGTGTTTACAGTGTCTTTTTTTGTACATTTTTGCTGTAGGGCTGAGTTTGTTATTGGCTGTGCTTTGGTGGACACCAGTGGGTCGCTCAGTGCTTGTGCTAAAAAAATTGGCGTTTGTGCTGCTGATGCGCTGCGGGGTCGATGCTGCTGTTCCGATCTTGGGGGCAAATGCTGTGGCGCTGCGCATGCTCGGAAGATGCCCGCAGGATTCCTGCATTCTCGAAACTTTCGATGGGTTTCAGTCTACGATTCTGGGATCCTATGCTACCTCCACCTCAGCGCCTTGTGATGTTCCTACTCATCCACCCTGAGCCCGAAACCCTATACCTTGAACCCTCAACTGGCCCTACACCCTATCCTCTAAGTTCTAGACCCTGAACCCTAAGCGTGGAAGCTCCAGCCACAACAAACTGAACAGCCCCCGAGGCCTTGCCAGTACAGGAGCCAGAGGAATTGCCAACAAGCTCTCCTTCTATTCACTTTCGGGTTTAGGCTTTAACTTAGGATTTAGGGTCTACCACTATATTTGGTGAAGTTCCTGTGGCAGCTGTGGGGGTGAGGGGCCGGACGACAGGTTGACCCGCTGGATCGTCTGAAGTACTCGTGTGGCCTAGCGTGACTTAGAGCTTCCTAGGAAAGTCTCGCTACGAAAGATCCCGCACAGGGCATAGTGCTCCATGTTCCCGAAACCCTGAATTTGAGCTTGTGCGCTGAGGTTCGCGACCCGAATGCCCAGCCCTCATCGGGGGGCTGAGGCGGAAGCTGTGGGCCATAGGACCCCCTACAGCCCCCCACACACGACACCCAGGGACTCACCAAGAAACCCTCATGCCGAGAACTACCCCTATAGGGTCAGTTCTCCACATGACGGCCCCTTTCTGGTTCCGAAATAGAAGGGGCCGCCTTATCATAAGGACCCCAAAAGGGACCATCTTGTAGAGAAGTGACCGACCACATGTCATCCGTTTCAGAGTACCTACGAAAGCCTGCCAGTCCATACCCTAAACCTTGAACCCGAAACCCAGTTTAACACATGCACAGCCCGGACTCCTGGGATCCCGTACCTTCGCCCCCTCCCTTTGGAGCTCAGTGCAGGAAAATTTGGGTTTCAGGAGTCAGCGGATGATCCTCCATCACTGTACCCTTAGCCCTTAGCCTGAGGGGGTGTAGGGGGTGCGGGGATACGGGATCCGGCGTTTTTTTTGGCCAGGCTCTGTCTTTTCCCTTTTCTTAGGTCTGGCTCTGTGGTTCTCTGGTCCTTGGTCCTCTAGTCCTCTGGTTGTGCGGTTCTGTGGTCCCGTGGTCCTGCGTTCCCCTGGTCCTGCGGTCCTGCGTTCCCCCCGGTCCTGCGGTCCCTTGGTCAACCTGTTAAGCCGTGCAAGCTTCCTTCAAGACCCTATGAAGCCGTTCCAAACCCATCATGCGAGCATTGTGTCCCCCCCAACCCAACAGCTTTTTTGGAGCTGTGCAAGTTTTCCTTAAGACATTTTTAAGACCATACGAATCCCTTCCAAACCCAGCATGCGAGCATCGTGTTTGCAAATGGGGCGGGGGTGCTCCCCCCCCAACCCCCCGCTTTTTTAACCGAGCATCGTGGCGGAGCAAAAGAACTTCTGAGCGGTAGCTGCTGTGAACTGTCAAGCCTATAAATCCTAAAGCCGTCTCAACCCTACAGACCTATAGGCCCCCGAGCCAGTCAACCTGCCAAGTGCTTCCGATGCTAAGGCGGGGGCCGAGTGGGGCGGCCTCTCCCTTGGCGATGTGATGGAGCCCAGAAGGCCCATCTCGGGGATTTCTTCTCCTGCCTCTAGCCACTCTCCCCTCAGCATCAGTAGTTTACGAGGTAGGGGTGAAGAGTTCGGGGGGGTTAGGGCTTCGCGACCATCAGGGATCTTGGAAGGCAGCATCCCTCAGGCCAAGAACCAACCAGAGCCGCTATTCGAGCTCGGGATTCCGGGGTGCTTTCCCAAACCTGCTAGTAGTCGACCCGAAACACGCAACCCTCAGCCCCTGCCCTAAACCTATCTACCCGACAAGCCTAACCCCGAAGCCCCTACGTACCCGCGTGCAAACTCCAGGGTCGGGTTTCGGGTTCAACCCTTACACCAGAGCACGCATCTTTCCGATTTCGGGTTCAGGGTCTGAGATCTCATTGGATTTAGGTTGATCACCTTTGATGGTGTCGGTGTCGAGGACCTGTGAAGGTACAGGCAAGGGCTCCAGGACAACGACACCCCCCAAAACCCCAAACCCCAAAACCCCAAACCCCAGACCCCACACACAACGACCACGGTCTCAGGCCTCTGATGTTTGAGGCTTTGTAGGATTCAGCAGAGTCCAAGCCCAGAGGGGGTCTCAAGATTCCTGGTTGGAGCTGATACTCTTGGGTTTAGGGCTTGGGGTCTAGGACTTGGCATGGGACAGGCCCGAGCCACGCCCGAAAGTCCGAGAGCGCAACGTCGTACAGGAGGAGGCGTTCTTTTGCAGTTGGGCCCATGGGTTTGAGAAGTGGAATTCAACCGATTCAGTGTTCTATAGGAACCCTGTAGGCACTAATGGTGCTGGTGGCATCTGTTCATTGGGGGTGCTGGAATTGTTAGAAGCCACAAAGCGGGCTCCTACCGCTAAATCTGGAATCCTGGGTTGAGGGTCCATGCTGGGCTTGGGATGTAGAGCTTGAGGTGAATTGGTTCATGGGCACTTGCAAGCCTTAAACCCTAAATGCAAGGGCCCAAGAGGGGTTTTCAGACAGAAGCCTAAGCTCTACACCCTAAACCCGAGAATTTACGGGACCTTTTATTCGGTGGTTTACCGTAGTAAAGGGGCCTCGAATTTCGGGAAGCTCTCATTTCGAAGATTTCCGATTGGGAGTTGAGCTAGATGGGGTTAGGGTCCTCTCAAGTTCTTTAAGCATCCTTCTTGTGGCTTCTTGCATGATAAAACCCCAAGCCCTAACCATCAGGGTTTTATGTAGCTTGAGGGCTCCCATGGCGGTGTAGACGTATAGATGTCAACAACGCTACGCAGCCAAACGTGTTGCATCTTTACACAACACGAGCATCAGCATGTAAGCGGTGACGGCGACAAGCAGACATGAGATAGAAGTTTAAGTACACAAGCAAGCTGAAAGTTAAAGTATAATCATCCAGCATGCGTTGAATAGTTCTTATATTCATACAGCTGTCGTAGTACCTATCCCCTCACCTTCAGCACCCGCAAAGAGTCGGTGATGCGGGCACTTCCCACGACATTCGCGCATGCTGGCCTCGCCGTGCGGCCGTCGCAGCGTGGGGTTGCCAAGAAAGCACTTCACCACCTTGGCCCGGGAGGTTTAGGTTTCGGGGTGAGGGTCCAAGGTTAAGCTTTGGGGTAGGCCTACTTGTAGTTTATGAATCCCTCTGCGGGTTCTCTATTGCGTACTTCCGGCTGCCCTACAAACCCAAATGAACCAAACCCCTATGTAAACCGTACAGCCCCTAATCAACCCAATAAACCCCAACAAACCCGAATAATCCCTAAACCGTCTAAACCCTAAACCGTCTAAACCCTAAACCCTAAACCCCTAAACCCTAAACCCTAAACCCCAAAACCGTCTAAACCCATGGCATGGTGCAAGTTCCCGTGCCCTCAGACAACACTTTATAACCCCTCAGTTAGACAGTTTGTTGCCACGCCATGGCGGAAGCAGCCCTTGCTACATTCGGCTGGCACTGGGCTTGTTCAAGCTGTCGTGGACCTGCTGACCCACTAGGCTTGAACCGCACAGGAGTGAGCCTTCCAGCGACATCCTGGGAGATTCGAAAGGCGTCGTGGTGCATCTGCTGTGAGAACACAAAGGCCCCCCAATGCTGTTTGGCTGGGCAAGGCTTTCAGCAGAGCTGTCCTTCGAAGCACCCTGAGAAGGGTGGAGATGCGGCGGCTTGTGGCATCTAGGGGCCCAGATGGCGGTGATGTTTTGCTGCGAGGCTTTCGCGAAAGCCCACAGTGCGTTCGTCTTGCTGGGAAGAGGTCCGGGCAGCTTGAACTTGTATTATTCTATGAATACTTGGTAATCACATTATGCTCATTCTAGCGTTTTTGCCCTTGTATTCACATTATGTTACATGCTCACGGGGTAATAACCAGATAAATTGGGAAAAGACCCTCACATTTCGTTCACTTGCAACATTCGTTCGCGCATGAACTACATTTTTAATACTAAAACAAGAGAACGAATGAACGGATCCAAAATAGAAGCAAAATAGTATGAGCAAAGAAGAGAGATATGAATTCACTAAAAAGATCTAAAAAGAGCATAGAAGGAAAACGACCAATTAAGAAATCATTAAATGAAAACAAGTGTACGAAACTAACATACTTGTAAAGGCGCAGTAGAATTGAGAGTTCGAGTTGCTCATGCCCAGTCATGTCATGCCCTGCCTGAGTACGTCTCAACCCTAAACCCCTGATCCCCTAAAAGCCTTTAGGCCCCTAAACCCTAAACCCTAAACCCTAAACCCTAAACCCTAAACCCTAAACCCTAAACCCTAAACCCTAAACCCTAAACCCTACACCCCCCGAAACCAGAAGCCCTGAGTTCCCAAACCTTTCCATCTCCAGCAGCAGACTCAGGTGCAGCAGGACATGGGCTTTTCATCACATCGCCCGCTGATGTGCGCTCCTCACTCGGTAGGGCCAAGAGTTGAATAGAAGTGCCTATTTTTCAGGGTTCAGGGTCCTGGGGTGGCTCTGAGCTTTGCTTATGTATGTGCGGAGGAGGTAGCCTTCAATCGTTTGCGGGCATTGCCGGGGCCCTTCGAGATGCAAAGGTTGACCTTATTCTTCTCATTCTTCTTTGAAAACTGCAGTCAGTAAGTAAAAATCCTTACTTCTAGGATGCCATGTAGCACCCCTCTTCCTTTCTTGGGGATGAGGTTAGGATCCCTTCTAAGCCCACGGGATGGGGTGCTGGGGGCACCTCGGAGACGCGGACAGGGTTCAGGTTTGAGGCACGTGAGGGTTGGCCTGTCAGTCTCCTGAAAGGTCATGCCCCCCCTCTAAAGCAAGTTAGGGTTTAGGGCTTCGGCTGAAGGGAGACCGGCTGAGGTCTCGGGTTTTCAAGATTAAAACGCTGCCCTCTGTTTTTGGCGAAAAAACATGGGTGCAGAGGAAGCTCGGTAGCATGTTCCCGGGTCCTTGAGGTGTTTCGGGCTTTGGGGTTTGTAAAGTCGCTCCTTCTGAGCCATTCTTGCTTGGGTTCAGGCCCAAAGTGCTCTTATGGTTTTTAGGGTTTAGGGCTTAGGGTTTAGGGTTCACAATACTAACAGTGACCTGTTGCGAGGTTGGAACGCTGCTGCTGGTGGTTCCAGCTGGCAGGCGCACGGTAGATATGAGTGTGATAAAGGCTGAGCCCTACATTCGTGGAACGTGCTTTGTTAGTGTAAGGTTTGGGTTTGAGGTTTAGGGTTGTTGATTGATGGATTGGTGGGAAGGGAGCGACCATGTGTGGACATGGGAAGTTCTCTAAAATTAGGTTCCCTTCTTGGGTAACTTGAATATTAGGGCCCGCCTTATAGTAGTGACCCTAAAACGTGGAGAAGTGACCCTATATGTGTATTGCAAACGTTCTACAAACATGTTCACATATAGCTTCTGGTAAATGTCACAGGTGTAGACAACACGGGTGTGCGACACAAATCGATTATGGTCCGCCTCATGTACTACTTGTTTAAAGGAGGCAAAGAGATTCCGAACATAATCCGCCTGTAACACTAAAAACCCTAAACCCTAAACCCTAAGCCCTAAACCCTAAACCCTAAACCCTAAATGGAATTGTGGGCTGACAAAGGGCCACCCCGTGTGTTTCTTGAA